AAAACGTTGAAAATTATTGAAATCGGACTAAAATAACGGCCGATTCTCATATAACGGTAAATTTAAGAAATGCTTGAAACTTCAATATTTCGAAATTGAAGGACGCTAATTTACTCAAAATTGATACACCTCGGCTTACCATCTAGCGGAAGGTTTCGGAAGGGTGAAAAAACATATATTTAATACTTGCGCCGGGTATTTAATGTTCGGCTCCGCCCGAACTTAGACTTTCTTACTTGTTAGTTTTGAACTTTTTGTTTGCATTTTTTTAAATTGAAGGACCACCCTAATATGTATACATATGCATCTTAGGGCGATTTCTATGCCAAGGTGCACAAGGAAGTGACTTTTGATGCCACTGTCGGAAAGAGTGTGACCAGATGATCGCAAAAAGCGAAGCTAAATTCCTTTTTAAAAAAGGTTAGAAAAAGTTATACGCTATGAAAATTGATGTTACAAAAAAGTCAGTATATTCATTCTTTAAAAACTCGATAAGTTCCGTAAAGCCGATTTTCTGTAAATAAATTTTTAAATCAGTCTCATCAAAACACACATATGCAGAAAAAAGTTAAGTAAAAGAAAAATGCAAAAATTTGAATATTTTCTACATCACAGTACACAAGTAGTACGTCAACAAATCGAAATGTAAAAAACGGTTTAAAGCAAGTTTATTAGTATTATTATTTAAGAAAGTATTTTCTCAAAGAAGCGGATCTTTGCAGTGTTATTGTAATATATGAACGGCAAATAGTAAATAGTTTAAGAAATATAAAAGCTTTTTAATAAGCTTAGGTACTTACTTTTATAGTTCCGGTCCGAATTTTACTATGAATATTTTAAGTAAAAAAAGGTCAGAAAAATGCCACGAAGTCAGATCTAAATTCCTCAGGCTCTGGCATAAAATTAAATGCTAAATCTAGCCTCAAAAAGGCTAACCTGGTCACACTAGTCTGAAAATTCAGGCTCTACGACCAAAGACCCGTAGACGAACTGATGAAGCTATGTATCTGGTTGGAACAATATACGCACATGCCTCTATGCAGCAGAAAATGCGCGCCCAGTACAATGTCGTAAAATTTTTTTATTCAAAAAAACTGCAAGTACCAAAAAAAACCATTAATTTCAAAAAAAAAACGAAAGGCTTTTGGAAAACTAAAGTTTTTAACCATATTATTGACACAATTTTTCTCAAAAGAGCCATCACATAAAAAGTCGGGGGAGGTTTTTAGATGTATTAATTAAAATCTAAATGCTTGCAAAAACTATAACTTGTTATTTAAACAACTATAAACTGTAATTACAATTAAAATTGTGAATATTGCATCACTGCTCCAGCAATGCAAGAAAAGCTGAACTTCGAAAAGCTGTAGTCACAGAAGACGGCAAATTTATTCGCCGCTCTGGATACTGCAGCAGGTTAAACTCCTAGCTGGGCAGGATAAACTCAGATGTGCCCAACGTATATATGTCCGGCACGCGAAGAGTCAACCCATGACTCGACACGCCTCTTCGCATGCCCATTAAATACCACTCCACCAACGCCCCTTTCCCTCTGGTCCAAGGGCCGCTAGCTGCCTTCACTTAGCATTTCCGATGGGCGCCAGTAGAGAAACGATTGGCGTGCTTTATTGGGCTCAGCCAAAATCGCTTAGGCGTTTACAGTGTCAAACAAAAAGAAGAAAAATTACTTGCCAAAAGTACTCTAAAAAGTAGTTAACCTAAATAAATTGTATAAATGCTTGCAAAGTCAGTGATTAATTTATATTTATTCTCAATGGAACAACGCCTAATAAAGCTTTGTTAATTTCATGCCACTCATTTAGCTTTCATTTCATTTCATTTCATTTCTAACTTGCTTTAATTGCAACCTAAGCCGTTTGAAATCCCCAAAGTATTTTTGGTTAATTAATCACCTCAATAATATATATGTATGTATATACTCCCACTATGCGCTGAATTCAATTAAGCAGCTCAAAATTTAATTAAGCTTATGACGCATACGTTTCTGGAACGCTGCCGAGTTTTAAATCATCAGCCGGGCTGATAATAATATTTTACTCGTCTGCTTGCCATCTGGATTCATGTCATTGACTGTTTGCGTAATCGCGTTGAAAACTTACATACACTTAGGAGTGCAATCTGATTAGCCAGCAAAATAAAAAATACATTCAAGGAAAATAAAATTTATGCATACTATTTTATTTTAAAAGTTGAACGAGCAGTCGTAAAAAGTAACTTCAGCATTTTTATTTATTTTTTCTTCTTATATTTAATTGTTTGTAATCATTCTACATACAAAAACAGACGCTTCCACATATCATAGGTATCATTGGCAAGAAAAGTTCCCGGCTGGAACTCCAAAGTTCTGTAAATTTTAGTATACCCGGTAGGATATGTCGGCAGTTGTCCAATAAGTAGAGAGCTGTTAATAGAAAAAAGTCAGATTAATTTTTTAAAGTGTTTGCGAACACAAATTCTTAGACTAACCCCTTTTTCACAAAATCATATATAAATTTTGTGTACTGTCGTATCATTGCTGCATTTGACACGGAATGTTTAAAGGAACTGGCGGGCATTTCAAATAAATACATCAGATCATCCATGTGTTCAACGCGTGCTGAAAGGAAGCACGAACAATTTTTGGAAATTTAAAATGAGACGAAAGTAGTTGGGAGATGAAGGAAAATATAGTTAAAATAACTAAACAAAATATAATATACATTAGGGTGGTTAAAAAAAAAATACACTGGAAAGTAAAATATTTGGAATTTTACTGAAATTTTAGTTGTGAAAATTTCTGAATAAAAATACTCTCATTTAATCAAAAACTAACTGTTTTAACTAGTTAAAATTCTACGAAAAAATTCAATTTCTTCATTTAAAATATATGGCAAACTTCAAAGCTCTGGCTTCCTTATTTTCGAAATGCTTCAGTTCGGAAAGGTGGTAAAAAATATGTGAACCACCCTAATTTACGTACATTTAAAAATACCCTTAAAAGAAAAAAAACTCTAATTTATTATTGCAAGGCAATTTCGATTTTATTTTGTTGACGAACGTAGGGGTCGCCTTTTGGCATTTTTCGATGACACCTACATTCGGTAATAATTTTTTTTTTAATAGATCTACTGGAATAATCGAAACACTTCCTTAGCAAAAGTTTAATGATTTTAGGTCAGCTTTGATTCATTGACATTAGGGTGCTACGTTATGGAGATAAAAACTGAGGTCTGTCGGATAAGTACTAGAACGGCGTACTTGAGGTGAATGAACTTTGGAACAAAACAGGTGTTTCCTATTGCCAAGAACACCGATAAATCATACTTTAGGACCCGACTGTAAATGCCGAAAATATGACGAAAAATGTAAAAAGGCCAGCCCTAATATAAAAGACAAAAGTGGGGTTTTCTGTCCGCAAATCAACCGGTCTGGGGTTTTTATAAGGTCGTCACAGTGGTCAACGAAATATTTTCGACAATTTGGATGGACTCTTCTCTACATTTGCCACTTTTGGGATATGCTTAAAAATGGTACTTTCCTTGGAGTTAATTTGAACTAAGCCAGAATGAGAGTCTAATTTCTCTTGTACGAATGCGTGGACATCTGTCAGCTCTGAAGCTTCAGACGAAATTCTAACGGAGTGAGGAATCACCAAGCTACCCGACTCTAGAGTCTAGAGCTAATCCAGACGCCAGCCATGTAGTCAATGCACCGGGCAAAGGTCCTGCAGTTTTGGATCTCTTGTGGGTATGGAAGATAGAGGTCGTTTGTCCTCAGACATTTTTTATTTAACTAAATCTCCTTTAACGCGCACAATGGCTCCGTCAGAGGAAGCTGCATATGGCCCACTGACTGCGTTGACCGCGGGATAGACATCCAACGTGCAGATTCGATCATGTAGTGATGACTGCTCAGCATCATCTGTCTCATATAACGATTTTTTTTTATTAGGAATGGAACTTAGTTCTTTTGCACGAGTAAACGGAAAAAAGATCCGTTTAGTTCTGATCCCACTGTAAGACTAGTTCGAGCTAGATGCCGACCGGTATCCAGAGTTCGGATACTAACTATCAGTCAACCCGCGGCAAGGCATTCATCGACGTACGCTGTTCTACTGTGGCATGAGAGTAATTTGTGAAGAGAACCCAGTGAGCAGTGAAAAAGACCAAAGTTCGAGACCATTACCCGCGCAAATCCCTAAAGCTGCACAGCTTCAACGCGAGTTTTATTTCCCCTGCACTGTCTATAGCCGGACTAGCGACCGTCTGTTATTGTGCAACCCAGCATGGCCAATATAAACGCACTTCTGGCAATGCTTGCGGGCGGAAGACGCACCCAAAGAAGTGCAGACTGTTCATAGACTACTCGACCGAGCGCTGAAATTAATTTAAATCAAATAACTTTAATTACTCACCTGGTTTCACATTATAGTCCAGATTACTAAATTCTCCTCTGAATTCATAGCTGTAGGGAAAAACTTTTGTATGTGGAGCGGCTAACTCCGCCAAACGTTGAGCACCGAAGCGTATAATTGCATCTGAAAAGAAGTCGCACAGCCGTGCTATATCGCTCGATTTCAATCCACTAAAACGAGGCAAGTAATAATCTCTAAGCGTCACGCTAGCTTCACTCAAATTGCCTTTGTGACCTGCATACATAAATATTTCAGGTGCCAACTGTTCAAACTCTTCATAAAACCGATGAGCTAATTGTTCATTTCTTACGATATCCACAGCAGATTGACAAAATTCACCATTCGTAAAACCCAGCAAAATAGGCACCTTAGCAAACGCGCCGCGTTGCAAACTCTCCATAGGCATTTCCGTGAGAAAACGTGCTTGACCAAAATCATTTTCAATCACAGGCAGATATATATAAATGGGATTATCCTTGCCGAATGTGAAGAGGCGTCGTAGTGTGGCAGCAATTTCATTGCCGCTAAATTTCTGCAAACAATTTAAAATATCTGCTTCTCCCTCCACAACTTCGCTGCAATTCAGTGCCCGCGCCTGTTTTCGCATTAGTTCCAATTGTGCTCGCTGCGGCAGTGGCGTTTGTGGTGGCAATGAGCCACTCATTATGATCGCTTTGTGGAAAAGACCCTGCGACATGGGCGATACCAAATGCAAGCTGACACTCAATGCACCAGCGCTGTAACCCATTAGTGTGACGTCTTTGGGGTTGCCAGCAAAGTGGCGTATGTACTTTGCTACCCAACGTAGCGCGTGTACTTGGTCTTTAAAGCCGGCATTACCGGGTATTTCGCGTGTGCCAAGCTGTAGGAAGCCGAGTGTGCCGAGACGGTAGTTGAATGTTACAACAACCATGGGTTTGGAAAGCAGATAAGCGGGGCTAATTAAGGTACTCAGCGACGATCCGATATAAAGCCCACCCGGATGAATGAAGACGAGAACTGGCAAGGAGGCGGTTGCAATGGTCTGCAAGTAGGCTATCGTTTAAGTGGGTGGTTGCAAAGATAAAGTACATGCAAAACTTACACTTGGCGTGTAAATATTCAGCGTGAGGCAATTCTCTGATGCGTTTGTGGCGTAGATAGAGGGACAGTCGTGTCCATCCTGACGTGCATCTATCAATGATGGTAGCTCATCAAGTGGTTGCGGATCCTGCGAATGAGTAAGATTTATCTTTTAGGTTGAATATTTTTTTTCAATACATTTCACTTAAGCTATATTTACCTTAAATCTGAATTCCCCAATTGGCGGCTTCACGTAAGGTATGCCACGAAACGCAAAGTATTCATCGCCAGTCCAGCTCTTATTTCGTATGCCTTCCACTGTAATTTTTCGCTGCTCGTCGACAAATTCAATTTTAATAGCCCCATCAACTGCTGGTGCTGTTGAGCATGCGCCTGCTTGGCTATTAATTGACGCAACGCAATAAATTAAATTCAAGAATATTAGAACTTTTATTGCAATCATATCAATAGTATGCCGAAGTGCGTAGAAATAAAAGCAGTGAGGGAGAGAGTGAAAAACAAAAAGCACGCTGTGAACAATTGTTGACGTTGACAGCGTTGGCAATAAACTGAGTTTTATGTTCTCGGATTTAGTGGCAAGCTGATAATGACCGCATAGGTTTGAGCCGATAAGAGTGCGTTCTCAAACAGGGTGTTTGATAGGAACATGCCAGTTTTATTTGGTTTACGCTATAGGAGTTGTTGTACTGATTTCTGTTAATCCTACTAACATTATTAATGTGAGGTTTCAACCAAGATAAATATAAAGGTAATTTTGTGAAGTTGTTGCCACTTGTTTCATAGCTAAAATAAATTGATTAATAAGCTAACTAAAATAGTACAATAATGTGGGCGTCAAACGAGAGGAGTTTGAAAAGGGTTTATTTTTAAAATAGCTATAATGAGGGTTGCCACCTGTTCGGAAATTTGAAATCAATTAATATTACAAGTTACATGTCATATTTTAAGATTAGTATCAAACGACAATTTTAAGAGAGCTTTGTTTAAAAAATATTTTTTCGAGGGTTTCCACCTTTTTAGAAATCCTAAACTAATTTTTATTATAAGTGCGATTAAATATTTCAAAATAGCTATAAACAAAAAAAGGTTTTAAGTAGGCCGTGATTCCCAAATATTTTTAAGAACGTTGCCACCTGCTTAAAAAGTTAAAATCAATTTAATTTATAAGTTAATTGGTGTGAATCGAACGGGTTTTAAGGTTTCATTTTTTAATTTATATTCAGAAGATGCTTGCCACCTGTTTAGAAGGAGAAAATCAATTTAAAAAGGAAATTTAATTAAATATGCTATGGACATTAGGGCGGGTAAATTTGTACGGGAGATATTTCGACTATGCGCGTGTAGCGCAGATGTATTCGACGTGTAATTCTTAGCAAATTTGCCGAAGAAACCAGGGGTTAAAAACTAATTCGGAGTTTGCCAAATTGCTTACATGTTGTATAAAAAATTCTTTAAGCGGTTTTTGTGTATGAGGAATTTATTACTGCATTTATATTTTTCTTAAAACTTCCAAAAGAGGGCGCAACAGTGAATATTTGCACATTTTCTTCGAAACAAATTTTCGCTATTTGGCAAACTCAGAATTATACGTAGAAGCCTCCTATGCTATACGCGCACAGTCAAAAAAATTGACACCCCTAATGTACATATGGGTGTTTCCAGCGGAAGGTCCACGTCACGTCACGTTNAGACGGACAGACGGACAGACGGACAGACGGACGGACGGACGGACAGACAGACATGGCTTAATCGATTTCTTTTTTCATCCTGATCATTTATGTATACATTTGTCTATATCTATCTCGATTCGTTTTGGCTGTTACAAACAACCGTTATGTGAACAAAATTAATATACCCTTGTGCACAAGTGCGCTCGGGTATAATGAATGGTTTTCCTTTTTTGTATCACATTGAAATCGTACGACTGTCACGTGCGCCACCATGGGAATGCCCATATGTATGTTAATATCGGTATTAAACTTCAGAGGTCTAAAAAGCCTTATTTCTCAAATATTGTTTAAGAGAGTTGCCATCTGTTTAATAGTTGAGAATCAATTTATTTGACAAGTTAAGTAATATCTTTGTCTACACCAACATCGGTGTCAATCAAAAAAACTTAAGGCAAGCTTATTTTCTAAACTATTTTTGGAGGAGATGCCACCTTTTACAACTTTAAAGGCAATTTAGTTGACAAGCTAAGTCAAGTATTTTATAGAAACGTCAAAAAATAGACGTTTAAGAGAGCTTTGCTTCAAAAATATTTTTTCGAAAGTTGCCACCGGTTTAGAATTTATAAATCAATTTATATTACAATTTAAATGAACTATTTTAATATGGTTATCAAACGATAGATGTTTAAGAAAGCTTTATTTAGAATATTTTTTTTTACTAGGGTTGCCACCTACACTAAAAGTTTAAATCAATCAAATTTATAAGTTAATTTAAACTGTTCAATACATCAGTTTAATTTAATAAATCTTAGTTAGTTTAAACTTTTTAATACACATACTTTTTGTTTATATTTTTGGAGGGAAGTGCCACCTGTTTAGAAAATCAAAATTAATTTAAATAGCAAGTTAAATGATACATGTATCTATCTATGAATGTATGTATGTATGACAAAATGGAAAGAATTAATAATAATGTCAAAGGAAAGGACTTAGGGCAAGCTTTTTTCTAAACTTTTTTTGAAGCGGGCTGCCACCTGCTGTCAAAAAAAAGGTTAAGTAGAGATTCGCTGCAAAAATATATTATTAATGAAGGTTGGCTTTCAAAAGTTTTATTTCTGAGATAGTTTTTTAGAGAAATGCCAACTGAATTTTATTGACAAGTGTAATGAAAAAAATTAATATGGATGTCAAAAGAAAGCTTTTTCGCTAATCTATTTTTAAAGATTAATTTGGGAAATCTTCCATATCTACACCAGATAATTTTGAAAGCATTTTATAAAACGGTTACCACATTTCCAAAATCTTAACTGACATAAATTTTGGCAATGTTAACGTCAGGGTTTGCATATTTTTGGCGCTGACTGTATTTGTTTTGAATGCAAATGTTGGCACTTAGTTAATCGCAATTATCGACTTCCGAGGTAAATAAATAATATTCTTCATCTCTTAAACACACCCTACCTAAAATAAACACTTCGTTGCCTACATCAACAACTCTCATTTAGTTTATTATCACAGTGTCGCAAAGAGCGATTCGTACTAGTGGGGGCACATCGTCGCTTAGAGCTGCAAATTAAATTTAATTAAAGCTCAGAGCGATTAATTTATTTATTCATAAAAGTGAATGTCTGTGTGTAAATTAAACGGCTACTCGCGCGTTGAACGAGTGAAATAATTTTCATTTGTTTATTAACTATCACGCCAGCGATCAAATTAACGCGCTCGTTTTTCTTTTTGCGCTGACAATTCCAGCCAAGCACACAAAAAACTATTGCTATTAACTAAACTGCAGTGCTTATTAATTTGTATTTATTTATTTTTTCATACGCCACTTCTTTTATTTATTTGCCGAAGCAGCACTCTTTCGATGCCACAGGCATGCGGCTTTCCTCAATCGCCTGAATTGGTTCCTCACTTTCTAAGTGTATGTATGTATATGTTTATACGCGTATACAATTGGTGTAATTAAAATCTAATTAAATTTTCAACACCCAACACTTTTTGTGTCAATGTTATGAAAATACCATCGTTCTAAGTATATTTGCGTGTGCAATTAAAATCACAAGAACAATAACAAATCAACAAATAAACAAACAATTAAAATACATTTCATTTTAAGTGGCAAAGTAATAAAAAACAACATCAGCGTCTGACACGGCAGCGGGGCAAAATAAGAACAATAATAAAACCTAACAAAATTTTAATTTGAAATGGTGAAATTTATGAGGCCCCTTTTGAGTAAACATATGTACAGACATACATACATAATTACACACAAGCATTGTGCGCATAAGCTGTGGGTGATTATTATGTTGAGAGGGCGTGAAGTGTCACAAAAGTGTTCCTGAGGCGAATTATTTTGGCGGCTGACATTTGTTTCTGAACAAGTGAGTTTAGATGTCTTAGTTAATCTCCTTATTAAATTTATAGTTTTTATTAAGTTCGTTTACCTTTGTTTGTTGTGAGTTTGGATCTTAGATGAACCGTATATTAGTTGGAAAGCAGGCTAAGTAAATTATGCAAATAATCCAAATAACAGGTGGATGGGAAGGACTGACTCCACCTGTATGAATGGGCTCTCCTTGCCATTCGTTACTCATGTTATTCCTCTACTTCCAATGATGACTACTGCTACTATATATAAAGATATAGATCTTCTTCTTCGCCTCCATCTATATCTTCATCTTCATCTTCATCTTCATCTTCATCTTCATCTTCATCTTCATCTTCACCTTCATCTTCATCTTCATCTTCATCTTCATCTTCATCTTCATCTTCATATCCATTTTCAGCTTCATCTTAATTTTACGTCCCGATCTGGATACACACTTGGACATAATATAGGATGACCTTTGAAATATCAATCCATTTTGAACCGTAACCGCTTCTCAATCAATAGATCAGACTCCAAGAGTCAAATTCAAAGCTACGAAAACGGCTAACAACGATATCTGCAAGAAACTAAGTATCGGGCAGTGACCGGTCAGAATTCGCACCAAAAGCAAGAGCTTTCGCTTTGTTAGCATAAAAAGGACCTTTGCCGCCCTTCAATCTACGCTACACTAGAGGCACCTTGCCATTGCAATGTCACCCAACATTCATTAAGTTGACATGAGGCTCATCTGTCCATGTGTGACTAACAGATGGGCAGTGGCGCTACTACCCCTCTTTGCTCAGTGATATCGGGTATAAGGTACACTTTCTTTGCAACTCATCTGCCATTCATTTTCTCGAAAAATCACTGTGGTGTTGTACCCACATACATAAGTCTGTCATCCTGGCGTTGAATTAATGAGTTCGGTACGCCAATTACCACCTGACTACCAAATTAGCTGAGAAATGTGTTTACTTCTCTTTTAGTGGCATCCACTTCCCTTTGAAAGCGCTACATCACGAAGCCTACCCTTGGCGTTGATGGAAAGCTGCTGATATGAGATTCTCATATAACCTGTCCATAAGTTTCAGTCCTTCCGCGAATGTATTCACTGCTTTCCTCCCTCCAGCCACCTCGCTTCAGACAATCATAGCTTGAAGGAATATGTTTAGAGAGATAGTTTAGGTAACCTGGGACAGATCATATAGAGTGTCCAGAGCTCTTTTCTTAACGATAAGTGCCATGATTTAATTATTGACACCGACAGCACGTCGCTAAAATCTTCGTCAACATTGAAGTGGGTGCCTAGTCTGATATTTTTATGAGTGAAAACTTCCTCTATTCACACTTAACAATTGTGTTCAGGGCCTCCTCCACGAAGCTTTCCTTATTATTATAAGAATACTGTACCTTAGATAGATGATGTCCAGGAATCACGTTTCGAATGTGTAGGTCAACGAGTATTTCCAGCATATTCAGCAGAA